TTTTTCGCGGTGTTTTTTTAAAGTAAAACTGGTTACATCATAGGAAACAAGCTAATTTTCTTCATGCTAAATAAAGCCAGCTGACTTACGAACAACGGGGAAGGATGGCTATTTCTAGAGTTAAGCTGTAGAAGAGAAACCCATTGCCGTCCGCGTGTAGTTTCGGGAAAGCAATGACACCCCGCCCAAACCTCTGCAAGCGTGAAGTCTACGTTCCAAGCGAAGGGAGATTCGAAGAGAAAAGGAAGTGCTTGTGGACAGAGGGACGAGGAGCAGAATATTTCGTATGCAGTGTGGTGTGACAATGGCCAACTAGATATGTATCCGTGTAACCCTTCGCCATTCCAGAACGTCTTCAGAGCGAGCTGTGATAAGGGACGATATTCAATCCAATGGATGCGCTCTGCTGCGCAGTTCGCAACGCTTCATTTCAGTCTGCCGGGCACGGTGGCACAAGCCTTCCTGCAGTCTGGTGCTTTGGAGCACGGGGGGCTGGTGGAGACACTCTGTACTGTCAGTTTAGGGGACTGCACTGTGGTCTGTAGATGACAGCTGAGCAAGTTCGCGATTGATCTATCGGTATGGACTTTGTCTTACCATTATACCCTTCTAAGTGCAAGTAATTTTGTGGAGCACTCTGGTTTCCTTCCACATGTCGAATGCTCACGTAACGACTTTGCCCAGCATCCCAGCGGAGTGTGCTCCGTAAGAATGGTCTTGAGGCTGCCCGAGTTTTATGAATAAGTAAATAAATAACTAAATCGGTTTCTTCTTCGACGGACATTGGGCGGTACACATCTCCTTCAGTGTTAGAAATTCCACATTACCATGCCAGGCACCGGTACTACTCTTATAATTGTTCATCCAAAATAAATCAATGCGAATACCTCGGCCATGCCAAACAATGGGTCTAAAGCAGCAAAGCCGTGTTGAAATAAACGGCGCATTCCACTGCGACACCCCTTGGAAAATAAGCAATGTTGCAATAATGGCCGAGGAAAAAATCAAACAAACGACGAAGTGGGGGGGGGGGGGTGAAGCCTCCTCTTCTAGGGTCACGGCCAATCACCCCGCCCCCGTTTTGTCCAGCGAGCGAGCAAACGGGGCCACCGCACACCCACGGACAGGGCCCTTGAAGGACTCGGGCAGACATCGCTAGGGAACCACCGGCGTCACTGCACAACCACGCATCGCAGAGCCGGATGAGCGGGAGGCGAAGGCGTCGAGGATTAGCGGGGGGCTTTTGTTTCGGCGCTGTTACCATGCGGTGAAAATATTTATTTCAAGATTTTTTTTTTTCCTCTCACATTTAGCTGCTGAAACAGCCATCACAGATTGCCGGACGGCTCGGGGAGGTATAAGGACCGTATCGGAACACAACACCGGCATCGCCAAGATCCCCCGCATTTATATTCGAGGCGTCAATGAGAGATTAAATATCCAGCCGGGCAGTGTTGTTGTGAGAGCGCTAAACTCACAAGCGGAAGTGAGAGCTCGAAGACATTCAGTCACCGCTTGACATTAAACGAGGTTCTCCGGTGTATTCAGTGGATGGTCCAAGCCTGCTTCACGAATGGGCATCCATGGACATCTTCATGGCTCTCACTTGGCAAGTGTATGGGCTACTGCACAAATGAAAGACATAAATTTGTGGTGGTGCTTAAGCAGGCTGAGCGAAGCTACGAGGATTGTGGTAGTAGCGGAGAGAGGCCTTCTGACGAGGCAATGAACGTGTGGCCCTGTGGTGTCTCCTCCGGGGTCGTTCCCCAACCTGACTTCGCGATCTGTTGGCCATGGGTAGTTAATGGATCACGTGATTATGAGCTTTGAGACAGAACTGAGAAAAATGTAATTGGTGTGAGACTAAGAGAATATGAAATAATGCAAGTAATATATGAACCCATAAACGCTGCACACTCTGGAGATCTTCACGTGCAGGTTCTGAACTGGAATGTTTGTCCAATTCTCATTTTTTTGGAGGAAAAAAAAATGCTCAAGGTTTTCTGGAAAATGAGAACATAAGTGTGAATACGTCAGTGTGATTCAACGATAAGAACAATTGGCAGACACGATGGAGGCCGAGCAAGAAGGTATTTTCCGCAGTTTTTTAGTTTGGGTGAGGTATAGAATAGGGAGGGGGACATGAAAACGCACGCCCCACATGCATCAAAGACAGAATACATGTATGGTCACAGTGATAGCAATGTAAATCTCTGAAAACACATGCAAAATAGATAAGCAGACAATGTCTCCTGCATCAATCTGTCTCTCCACATGTTACTTATTAAACAGCTGACTCTAAGCCCCATCCACAGAGAGTCAAACCAAAATAAAACCGACACGTGTCCCCCTGCCCCCACCACTTAAGATGGGATCATCTGATGAGTGCGTGGCCCATGGAGGTTCCAAAAGCCACCACATCCTCAAAGAACCCACGGTAGCTGTATAATTACACGCGGCCCCTATCCACCCTGTCGCCCCGTGGAGAAATTGCCGCGATTCTGCCGAGACGAGTGCTCGTATCGCCGTGCGGAGATATCAGAACACTTGGGCGAGATGCCGCCAGCCCCTTCGGTGCCATCAGAATCAGAATCTTTATTTAGACTGTAGGAGGAACCCAATGAGCTATCTTCTTCCTCATCTTCCTCATCTTCTTCTTCTAGCGTATGGCAAGTATGTGCAAATCACATGTCCACGTTCAAGTCTTGTGAGCCATGCGACAGCTTCGGGAGTTGTCGCGACGAATACTGCTCAGTCCGCCGGAGAGAGCGCGGGCGTAGGACGATGCAGTTGTTCGCCATACGGATACCATTATCTAGTTCGGGTGGGCCGCGGTGACACTGTGGGTTGGCTTAAAGTCTTCACTTTCGGAGGGGAGGTGTGGGCACAGCGACCAGTTCCTGTTCGGAAACGGTTGATGGAGCACCGTAAGTTTTCTTGGCAGATCAAAGCAGTCCGGAGCAATGGTGGGGTCGATGAGCTATTTAGCTCTTTTTCACAAATGTCCAGTACGGGCGGGTCCATCACCATAGGGTCCCGCTTATTTAGCGAAATATAAGCAGGTTCCCCTCGCATGCCCCGACAAGAGCGAAGGGGCACGCGCAATGCAACGGTGGCATCCCAAGTCAAAGGCCAACGGATCCCACCAAATAGTGAAGCATTGCGGCATTATACATTTGTTGAAAGTAACCCAGCTGTGTATGTTGCATACACCGTCGCAGGTACAGGAGGAGACTAATTAGTTGTCCCAACAGAGTCGTGTGAAGCAGTGGTTGACCGGGATGTTCAGCATTTCAAAAGCAGCCACGGGAGTGGATAGAGGTAAGTCCAAGTGTCATCCAATTCCTTTCTTACTTACGTACGTTTGTTAGAACATCAGAATACATGGACAAACCCATAATATATATAGGGCGACAGCACTGCAGAACTCATACAGTGGAATCAAGAAACCAAATTGCAGTCAGTTCAGGAGGGTTTGGGGTCAGATGATGATTTCAGTGCGATCCACCAACCCCCCCCCCCCTTCCAAAGCACTGGATGAGACGTTAACTACCACATGCGGCTAAATACACAAAAGCACATTTAAAAAATAAATTTCTGATATAAGGTATCAGTTTCATTTATTTATTACTCACCTCCTGAAAGCTGAAATTATAACTTCAAATTCTGACGTGTGTTAATTGTATTCGAAATTATAATAAACGCAAACTTTTAAATTATCAATAAACACAATGAAACACTTCATGTGGCTGTATTAATGTCATCTGTGTGAGAGAGAGCAAGAGAGTCAACGGTTTACTTACACAACTGGCTGTGGGCTGAAGCTTACGGAGATAACCCATTGGGCTGTGGAGCACGGCGATTCGAGGGGCTTCTGAGTTAAGGGTGCTCTGGTTCAAATCTAACCCCTACTGCCAATCAAACCTCAACCACGTAACGAGCACATCGCTGCACGAGCACTTAAGATAACACATTAATGAGCGAGGCGTTGTAATGGACAGTGAGTTTGGGCCAACAGTGTAATTAACATTTAATTACAATTCCCATTATGATTAAAATTCATAAACACGAGGTGTATCGTGCAGTCAAAAGTCAAAGCATCTCCAGGCGCAAATGAGTATCGCTAGGTCCGCACTCAAATGAGCGTGGAGCTGTGTTCACCTCAATTGCTGGCCCTGAGCCAATTTAAAAAAAATTCCACATTCCTACCGCAATGACAAATCTCTCCAATTGGACCACTGCTGCCGACTTCCCACAGAGTGATATTTTATTTTATTGACCTGTGGCAAGTGAACTATGCTTCTGTAATGGAGGGGACTGGTCCCCATCGTAAAATGTGGAATTGCTACGACTCGATATCTCGTGACTTCAAGCCAGGATAAGTGCTGCCCAATGGCTGTTTGAAGACACCTTGTATATGACGAGGATGTTTTGTGTTCAAATTGAATTGGTTCAGTTCAGAGACAAAAAGAGGCGCACGTGACTTAGAGGACATACAGAGCTTAAAGATATCATTCAAACTGGGCTTGGGCAACATGCGTTGCAAGAAGGGACGAGGGTCGATGGGGCAAGTGATGGAATGGCAGTCAGGGAATGGAACTCGTCTGAGATGACGTCAGCCTAGGAAATGTAGCGACGAGATCGGCTCGTGTGCGGGTGCCAGATTGTCAAGTCGCAGAACCGTGGGAGACGGCTTGGGGAGGCCAACATCCTAGCAGCGGTTAATCATGGCCGATGATGATTATTAAGTGTATGCACGCTCAAAAGGCACGAGTGAAGTTCATTTCCATTGGTGGCGCTAAGGAAGTGGAGGAAATTCCTCATTCCCGGTGTCAAGAGCGGTCTCCCTCGAGGATACGCGAAGCGTCTAACCCAAAGAGTCCGGCGTTATTTGAAGAAACAAAGCTCGTGCTTCAAACCGAGAATGACAAAACGTGAACGGTGTTCGCTCGCGTGTGGTGTTACCGACAGCCCGGCACCCGGCACGAATGGGTACGTACTGCACGAAGAGGATCCTCGACCGCACGATGAATTTGAAGACGTACTCCAGGGACTTCATGGCACGCAGCAGAGGGTCAGCGATGTCCTTGGCCTGCACGTTGTCCACATAGTACTTGAGCACCTTCGTGAGTTTCCTGAAACGGCACGACAGGGCTCATGGGCACTCGATCATCGGAGCCGGCGGGCATCCTCGCAATCGCTCATTGCTCTCACGGCCGCCATCATCGCTTGGCGTGTCATTGCCGTGCTCAGCACATCGCCATCGGCACCATCACTGTTAATTCAAAACTGCGGTCACGATTATTATTATCATCATGTACCACCCCACTCACATGGTCATTGAGAGTCAGGCTATCGGTCATTATTGGATGATTGGAAAAACGTAACGAGTCAAAGCATCTCTCCGCTGCGACTCCGCTTTGACTGAGTCGCTAATCTCTAAAGGTGTTCCCTTGCCAACGGTGTACATTCCACATTTCCAAGGGCACATGCCAGCCTCTAAAATAGGACCGATGTTGAACATTTCTAATTACCCAAATTATTATTCGCTATAGCAGTGCCAGTTTACGAGCTCATATCTCAATATATGAAAAATCTGAGTTAAAAGGTCTCCCGGATTTAAATGAGCATGGCAGATTCCTGATTTCTGTTGGCCTGGTTCAGCAGCACTAACCCCACATTCCCATGGCGAGGACTATGACCACATAGGAAACCACTCTGTTGAAAATGTCAACATGACCCTCAACAAACCTACAAAAAAAATCACTGCCCCTGAATAACAACAACGCTTTCCAAATTCTTGATCGCAAAATAAAAGAGGCAACTAATCTCAACAGGCTCCAAACAGGTCAAAGGCCACCGCATTGAATTGACCCGATAGATATTTTGCAATGGCCACACGTTTGCATTGAACAAGAATGGGCAAAATGACAAGGGGAGCATGATTTGCTGCTGTTGAGTGATTCAGACAGGCAAGATGAAGGGCCAGAGTTGACAGGCGGAGTTAAACAGAATGATCATGGTGCTTTACCAGCACAATCCCCGGGAATTACAAGGCTCAAGAAATTGGAAGCCAGCAAGCGGGTGACATTTCCGCAGCTGGCAAAGACGAGCTGTAAGCCGCCCACTTTGAAAACTTTCCGAGGATTAAGAATTAAATCTCCAACTAAGCCACGGAAATTGCAGCAAATGAAAAATATGTTTTTTGCATAGCAAGCATATGGCACCATTTCATTCGCACACTTGCATTTTGGTCACATTGTTACATCAGCAACCGAGTATAAAGGGACCAATTTATTGCACTGAATAAATAAAAGGGCCCATCACAAATCCAGTGTCCATATAACTTCATGATTGGAAATGTGGTTTTGGAAAACTGGAAGCTTAAGACAATTTATAGCCAATTGTTACAGGATAACACGGCTCTGCATACGCACAAGCAGACACGTAATTAGGTTGTTTGCTTGAAATATGAGCGGCAAACATGTTATTGACGCTGAAATATTCGCACACGCTGTGGTGTGTAGGTGTTCGAGTGAGGTAGTGTGTCGAGCATGAGGAAAATGAGCCACATCCGAGTCCACATTCTCATGATGAGGACTATTCTTTTCAGTGTTTACTTCTTGACAATGTGGAACTAGTTAGGTTTTTTTTTTCCTCAAAAAAGATGAGTTTAGCACTTAGACTAAAGCGACGGATTCGGCCAAACTATCCGAAACCTTCAACCACCTTGAACAGACATCAAAACCTGGAATCTCTTAATCTGTGTTAAAGAAGAAATATATAGTGTGTTTTGGGGACCTATTCCATCAGCCTGCGGGCCACGTTTAATTCCCTCATGTAATTTTTCACATCACGTGAACTTTAATTTAAAAATCCCCAGGTGCTCTTTGTTAAAAGAGTAGGGGCACCGACCCTGGTGTCATGGCTATTTATCCCACCGTGCAGCAATTAAATCTCGGGCCGGCTCTAATTCGCCAGCTGCCTGGGCCAAATCTCAAATACCAAGGCTCCCCCTCCCGTCCCCCTTGCCAAAAACGAGCGCGGGGAATGGAAGAGAGAGCGCTGGGTGGGAAGCGTCGAGGACACCACCGCCGCGCCTCAACGAGCGAGCGCCGGCATCTCCCGAGCAGCGAGCGCGGCGAGATGGAGGCACCGGCGCGCGCCACCGCTCGACGGGAACACGCGCGCGCGCCCGAGCCGGTTCGTGGCAAAGCTGCGAGGTCAGCCAGACTTCAAAGGTCAATAACCCCGCGAGAATGTTTTGAAAACTTCTCTGGTTATTTAAGCAAGACCATAATTAGCGAATCACTGCATAGCAGCTTTTCCAAGGATTGCTTATATTTAAATGAGGAATAAACGACCGTGTTGAAAAACTGCAGGCTAATTTGCTGGAACGAGGGGAGCCAATTAAAAATTTCATTTTAATGTGCTGCACTTTATTGCAGAATTCTGGGTCAATTAGATGAAACATCAGTCACATATTCCTTGTTAGTTTGTTGTGGGACATGTGTAGGTATACCAAAATGCCAGGCCACTCTTTGTCCAAGCACCGGGCCAAATATCTGATAAATTATCCACAATTAGCCGACGCGCGCAACGAAACAGGGTGCAAGCAGCCAGCTTTAACGTGGGCGAGTTCAGCAAGAAATGCAGCCCTGAGCCTCCCGCCGTCTCTCCCCAAGCGAACCTCAGGACTGTCCCCCTCGAGCTCGGCGAATCAATCGCATTGCCGCGCCAGCTGCTCTCCATCCTCTGTCAATTCATGGGTAAGGTGAACAGGGTCATCGTGGCCAATAGCACCAATGCCACCGCTCCGTCACTTCCTTAGTCCCGGCCCAATGCTGCACAGTCGACACCTGACCTCCAAGGTCAACCATCTGGCTTTAGGTCTTCCCCTTGGGTCACCGATCTGTGCGTGCCGACTAGGATGCCTGTGTCAGAAACGTTGCCGATTCCCGATTTCAAATTACTGACGTTCCGTTTACTGCATTTTTGTATGACGTCGTTGAGATACTCTCCAGTTTGTAATCGGGAGCTGGGTGATCATACGGGGAAAGAACACAAGCGCATGCAAGCGCATACGAGCACGGTTGGTGCCAAAAAAAAAGATCACTTTATTTTGCTTCTTTACCCAGGAAAGTCTCAGAGTCTCAAGGCTCCTTTATAGGAGGGCCCTGCAGATGAAGCGAGATGTTGGTGTCATGCCAATTGAGTGATTTGCAGGTCATGTTTAAGCATTTAGGATGTTTGGCCAATACCAGTTGAAATGTGTGGTTTATTCAAGCTATTCAAGGAATGCACTTGGCCTTCAAGCAGTGAGCAACTTGCGACATCAGAGACGAACGGCTCGCTACCCGTGGTGTTAATGGTCACCACACTGGACATGGAAATCGAAAGTCTTCGGTTCCATCACCTGGCATGGCAGTTGAAACAATGGGGTAAGTTTCTTAAATCCTCCCGCCTCTGCCGACCAACTCAGCTGTACAAATGGGTTCACCACAGTTAGCCAATCGGTCGGTCGCGTTTGATGGGGTAAAGTGTGGGCATCCCATCCTCTTCCAAGAACGTCTGGCCATAATGGAAGAGTAGGCCAAATAACCTCTAGGAGGAGCTCTCTGTAGTTATTCTCCAGTGGTGTCCCTTCCACCAACATTTGCGTGATCAGGCGATCTCAGGGGCTGCACCTTTAACCGATTAAACCCAATAATCGTGAAACATTGAATGGACCTTTTGGAACTGTGCAATGACCTTCCAAGCACAGTTGGCATTGCTGCCAGGAATGTGTTTTCATGCCGAGTGGCGAACAGGCACACACAGGGCGGGCGAAGCACCGAGGGCCACAGGTGCGCCTGTACACGCAGGCGTTCTAACACGGGCGTCACGAATTTGCGTTCGAACTGGAAAATCGACGACAAAATGTACCATCGCGGCCTACACCACGGATTGTCTCTAAACCTTGAATTTAAGTCGGTAATGACCGCTTTGGACTTTAAGTTGCTTCAAGAGATGTAAATAAAAACCTGCTGATATAAACTGTTATTTATTGTTGTGACGAATGAGCCTACGACTGAAATGGTGGGTTGCATTGGTGGAAGTTTACAAGCGCAAACAGAGACCTTCCACCTGAGTCATTATCCTTCGTGTCATGGAACACGCTTCTGCTGTGCACACAGAAAATCCAGAGGCTCGTTTTTTTTCCCCCTTCACAAACTTTTTCAAAACGAGTGATTAATATTTGTTGTTATTTTATTGTTGAGAAAGGGGGTTTGTTTAGTTTCATTGTTCTCTTTGTTTCCGTCCACATTGTTGCATTTTAAAAATTTGCTACCAACCAATAACAGCTCCCGGAGAGTTGCTTTAAACGTGGAGACAATATCGAGAATTGTTGTTGTTGTTACTGTTGTTATTTTTATGAACGTGGTAATTGTTGCGTGTGTTTCTATTTTACAAAGCACAAACAAACCGGGACCTAAGAAGTCTGTGACCTCGGGTTGCAAACCGCCGTGATTAATTGTGAGTTTTACAGCTGAATTCCAGCTTTGCTTTAATGTTAAATTGAAAAACTAGTGCACACCCGGTCCTGCTTGCACAAATGCATGTTGTTGATTATCACGTAGCCATGCGCAGCAGCAACAATGCATCAAATTACTACTGGAGATCAACTAATTAGTTCATTTCACATTTTAATTACCAATAAAAAAACACACAGAGGACTTAATTAGTTTGTGTCTCAGTCATTTGCATGCGCGCATCTGAGCTAACATCCGCCTGTATGCTTATATGTTTAGCGAAACAGTTCAAAATGTATTCAGAGCACAAGATTTGAAAATTCATCAAGGCTAACGCTCACAAGAGCTGATCAATATTCCATTGCAACTAATTTCATACAACAACGGCCACCACTTCGCCCCTAAGTTACGGCGACGTCGCCAGACCGAGTGCGCCAGGCTAGCTCCAATTTGAGATCACGTGAAGTGGATTAACCGACTGTGATGACTGACAGATACACCAACTGTGCTCCCCAATGCGCCAACGTTTTAGCTGCCCAGCGCTTTGCTCTTTGTGAGCGTCGCTCCTCTGCCCTCCATCGTCATTGGACCATGACTTTCTCAAAATGCCCAGCAGCGTCCTTCACGAATTTCTTCCACAGAGGCCGATCAATGTTGTGGCATGTGCATATTAAAGAGGCATGTGCATGTGTTAACATCAATGCAGACTCTCTACAGCTCTGACCTGAGCTCTCTACGGCTCTCAGCTGAGATTGCGGACAGAAAAAGGGAGCTAAATAGCCATGACATGAGCTTGCAAACAGATGAGCGGATTGGATATTGCACAGGAGGATTTGGTGCTGGGTGAACTTGCTAAGAAGTGGTACCGGCAATTTCAGGATCAGCCTGTTTGTGTGCGCAGGAAGTTTGTGAGAGATGCTAGTAATAATAATATAATAATTTAAATTCATGAAGTGCCCTCAAACAATCGTTCTCATGGCGCTAGTGGACAGCTGGCAGAGCTGTCTTCCAGCAACAACAGGGCGCAAAACTCACAACAAGCCAGTGTCTAGCAGAAAAGATGCAGCGGGTTGGCATAATGGTACATGGGCAATTCACCATGCTCTGTTAACTCATGGCACCTGGGGAATACCCTATGCCACCCTATGGGCGAGCCCTTGCTACTCCAAATTACAAAGTGCACCAAGCCTGCTACATATGCCACGGTGATGTCACCATCACTTAGTGCCGAATGGCGTCTGGTCTTGTTGTTTTAAAATCAAAGACAGTGTGCTCATGCATGCGTGTGTGCGTGTGTGCCAGTGGTGGTGTAGCGGTTAGCGCTACGCTGCGCTATGAACCTGGCGACTCGAGTTCCATTCCCGCTCACGCCCAACAACAGTGACGATTATCTGAACCGGCTCTGGGCCTGCCCTAGGTAGACTCAGCCTCAAATGAGTACCTGGTGCGGTGTGTAAACATTGCCACTGGACCCTACTGGGCAGTTGAAGGCAGTCGCCCTCCAACAACAACGAGCGGAGCACCGTGCAGCTAAAACACAGCAAGTTGGTGCATTTTCTAGTCATCTCAGCAACCTATGGCACCCGGATATGTCCCGTGACCTCCTGCTTGTGAGCTTTGAACATTTCACGTGGCCTCAGAGTGCACATAGCCTAACACAAGTGCCGCGGTAATGTCACCGCCACTTAGTGGCAAATGACGTTTGTTGTAGTATGGGTGTGCGTGCTTGTGTATGTGTATAGATCAGCATGTGTGTGCGTTCGTGCCCGTGCATACTTACGCGTAGGCCAGCGTGGCGCTGAAGTGCTGCGAGATGTAGGCCTCCAGCACGGGGTGAAAATGCTGGAACTTGCGATCTGCGATGAGTCCTATTATGAAGATCTGCGGGGATCACAGATGGCACACGCACAGACAGACGTGTCAAATCATCATTATGTGCCCAGTCGCATGAGGGGGCGGTGTTGCTCTCATCATCGTACATGCCTTTTGTGAGATATGACAAACTACCACCTTGGCACTCAATTTTGGGCTGAGTAACACCTAAGAGAGACCAGCTCAGGGCAGAGTTATAGGCTTCCAAATTCATGCATAGGCAGGGTTGTGGCACAGTTGTTGCAATTAAAACTAAGTATTTATTATCGCGTTACTTTTTCTGTACACGTACAAAGATCTCTCCAATATACTTAATATACTGACTGGTAAAGCAAAAATCTGCTACAGGCAGAGGTACGCAGCACTTTGCCCAGCTGCTGCCTTTGTCTCACACGACGGCCGAGTGTTCTTTTGCGAAACAATAATTATATTTTGACTTAAAACTAATTAGATTTGATCGTGTTTGTTTACCGCGGAAAGCCTCACCGAGCCTGGGTTCCTGCCAAGTTTTAGAAGCAGTCGTGTGACGATTGCGGTGCTGTGTATATTCCAAATTAGCAACTTGCGGGTATTTGTTTTTTTATTTGGACCGTGACCCCTGGCACGCAATGGCCTACTCTTGCGAATGACACCGCGGGATCGTTAACGTCCACGGTGAAGCAGACCGGCGTGTGGCGTTTGTGCTGTTAACACGCACGCCGGATTAATCCTGGTGGCCGCTGGATTGGAACCGTGGGACTCTGCAACAAACGGCAAATCGAGTTACCGCTCGGCCGTGTCACCGCCAAAACTCTGCGGTTGTGTCACCGGGAAAACTTCACTCGGCTTCAAGCCTGGGTCTCAATCGTGCTCTCTCTGTGGTTGTCCAATGAGGAGACTGGCCTCTGACATAAGCATGACGTGTGGGCACCAACAGGCATGAGCAGTGCGCTCTCTTGAGAAGGGAGGAGGGGGGGGGCTTTGATTTTTTGCTTCAGGAAGTCTGGCCAAATCCTTATCCGTTCTTTGGGAAGAGGGAAGAGCCTAAAGTAGCCTGAATAAAACCTGGACAATGCAAAGGGATAACACAAGTGAGGCGATAACTCCACGCAGCTGGGGAGGAAGCCTACTTGCTCTACTGGGTGACATGCTTGAATATCCAGCACGGGTGGTTTGCATCAGCCTAGCTGGGGGGGGGAGGTGGGGGCTGCAATAGGCATTCATTCCGGCCGCTCCGGACCCTGCGAGGATTCAGAATCGAGCCTGGCACGCCGGCGTCGGAGCGCCGCAGGCCACCTTCATCTCGCCGCACCCGACGGCTGCAGAGCCGCGAGCACAGACTCAAGGGACCGTGGGGGTCAATTTTTCACGAGGTTATTGGACAATCAAGCAGGCAAATTCATCACCGAAAACCCCCCCACGGGGTAAGGGGGGTGAAATCGACCGGCTGCAAATACCTTCGGCACCTGCCCACGCCCCTGCTGGCCTCTTTACGAACGCGGCAGCGCGCACAATGGCGCGCCCGCAACGTACGCGTGCGGGCGATTGACGCGACTGGAATTCCGCTTTGACTATCGAGAAATTTGCGGCTAAGCCGTGGACCTGGGACGACGAGCACGGCCGGGTGGCGATGGCGCTCCGGTGCTCGGCTCGACCGCGAGGAAGGCCGAGTGCAAATTCCAGCGGAGGGTTTCGCTCGGCCTGTAATCCTCTTGGCGGTGACAACGCGATCACCACTTTATGGTGGCAGTGGTTGTTATTTGGATCTACGGGCGCCTGTCATGGGAATGTGGAATTTCGGGGATGTCCCTCTTCATTATATTTTTGTTCCATGCCATTTGAGCTCTCAGAACAAAATGGCGGAAACCCCAGCGAGCAGCACGTGTTAAGGGAACGGCCCGCGGAAGAGGTTTTTGGCAGCAAGTTCTCCTGAGACATCCTTCAAGTGACTTTGTTACCCTTTACCCAACAGAGGGTGCATTTTTGGACTCTGCAATGAGATTGCTGCACGGCGATTGTCAAATGTTTTTCAATTCTCACAACAATAAATTTGCAAAATCAAGCGGGAAAAACAAATGCATGTGCCGACTTATTTTGCGGGGTCAATGGTTATGAGGTGCCACTTCAATTCCCCGAGCTCGAAGCCACCGCCAATCTGAAGTTGCCAACGCCGATGAAGTCTGCGCCGCTTGCCCGCATGAACAGGCAAACACTTTGGGCTATTGCCCATTGGCGGTTTTATCCCAGCCACGCTTTATTCTGACTTTACTACCCGCATCATGATAAGACCCCAGAAATGTTTATGGAGAACTCTCAAGCAAGCAACGTATCGTCGCATCGTGCCGAAGACCAGCCCCTGCAAGACGCCATTACAAACCACTTATGATGTCACTCGAAAAAGGCTTTCTCACCCACCACAATGGGGTGCGCGCTTGTGCAGTGTAATGTGTTTGTTAAATGGCAATCAAACTAAATTTGTATTCATTACAACTGGAATAATCCGAAATATAAAAAAAACATTTTGATATTGTTGACTAACACTGTCCGCATAGGATATAGCTTCACCGCGCCCGTTTGGATTCGAGTTATTATTGATGACGTCATCACGGCGTCACACAGCCCTAGAGGGTGATGTGTGCACGGAGAAGCCAGCGGCGTTATACAATGGACGATGACGTCATGCGTACCAGATTTAAATATAAGCCAATGAGGAACCCAACGTCCAGACGATTCTACCAAAAAAACCGGAGTCAATCTTCCAAAAGATTTTGGTCCCGACTGGTTTGTATTTGATGTTATTTTTAAAAAAAATTGTCCTTGCCAAGAGAAACGCGTTTGTTTTTATGCTTGTTTTCGACATCCAATTAGGGAGATGTACTGTGTGATGGATAGATGCTTGCCCATCATATATTCATTGGTAAATTGGCTCAGATCATCGACTCAATAGCCCAGAGAACGTGATCTAATCATAGGTGACTGAACTTCATATACTTCAAAAAGGCTTTTGATAGAATCTGGCAGAAGGATATGGCAAGTTTAGAAAATGTATGGCATCCCCAAAAGAGTTGATCAAGAAAACATAAAACATCTAAGGCAAGTTGATGAGTTCAGCGAACAAAGCCAAGAAGGCTGATGGAATGGAATGAGACAAGGATGTATGAGTGAGACAACACGCGCACTGTCACCAGACTTGTTCCACTGTACACGTGAGATGCTGCAATGACTCGAACACAGAGATGCAACGGTCGTCACACGCTGGACAGCAGGGGGATGGAGTAAGCTTGGAGTGTGGGATGATATTGGGCTCATAGCAATGTCCAAAAACGGTCTGCAGAGAACAACCAAGAAGGCAGACCGGGAAAGCGGAACATCTGAAATGAAGATCAATTTGGGAGAAAAAAAACATATCTATTGGAAGGGACATGGGGAAGAGGTAATATCCAAGTCAGAGAAGATGACATGAGCATAAACATAAAACTCTGTACTTTAGGAGGACTACTCCCGAAAAATGGGCATTACAACGACGACAAAACTATATCGAAGGAGCTGCTGCTGCTGCATTTAGAATACATCACAAGATCTACAAGGACTCAAGACAGTGAGATTAAAATGAAACTAGCAGCACACGAGACATGGGTCACACTTTTGCTGGAGTGTGACAAAGGCAAGAGAACAAAAATAAAAATGAAAAGAAAACCAAGAGCAAAAAATAACACTACTACTACGACTACAGAAGATTTATGAAAGATGACCGAAAAGCATTGGACACACTATCAGTTGCCCTTCAAAGGACGCCACACGTGGCAAAACATACCACACCACAAAAGATAACACACCGCAAAACATAGCACACCGCAAGGATTGAGAAAGAGGAAGACAGAGGATGTGTTGGACAGACAAGCTTAGGGATGGCACACGACAAAAAGGGGTTAAAAATCTGATCAAAGCCTTGAACCGCGGTCAAAACAGAAAACAGTGAAAACAATTAATTAGTCTCCATCGTTAAGCAGAAGAGCCAACTGCAACTTCAAACTCTCACGCAGCATCTCGGCAGTGCCAGCTCCAGCTGTACCGCCGATTTAACCGATACACAGCATGGGAACTTTGTGGCCAGGAGTTGGCCCAAAAAACCCATCCCAAGCCTCTGTGAGTGCAAGGAGAGGCTGGGGAGGCAGAAGGTGGCAAGGCTCAAGCAACGGGACGCACACACTGCTATCAGTCTTGTTTTGGGTCCAAGATAAACCTTTGGTTTTATGGTTATGCATATATATAGGTCTATGCTGTTGGTGCTTATGAGGTAGAAACACAAGTAACCAACAGAGGGGGTTTTTAATTATTTTTGTAATATTTTGTACCTTATCAAGAAATGCATATATAACGAATGACCATTCATCTTGCATTATCGTGATTAAATTAGTGTTAATTTGACGGGAACATTTATATTAAACATGATTACAACTTTCCTCGTATTGTTAAGCTGTTGTATGTTTACTATACAAATGCCCGGACCATGGGACAACATATTAGCCACCCTTGGGTCTCTCACCTCGATTAAAATAACGAACCTTACTGATTAATACATTTGTTCGCGTTAGTAAGACTAGGTTTGGAATCTCTTGGGTGATTAATTTGGGAGAGTCGTTATTGTCTTCACTTTTCATCAAGGGCACACACCTCACCGATCGATCAGAACTCAGCACGGAAGATGAAATCCGAAGCATTTCAGTGCACAGCGGAGAGATGGCGAGCCTTTGATGACGACCGCAAACAGCCAGCCAAGTGGACACAGCGATACACGAGACTACACGCAGAGAAATTAATTCCCCTTTTAGCTATACGGAACCGTAGGCGGCAACTTACGTGAGCGAGCACCGATTACAACAGCCAGGTGTAGCACCCGAGGGGACGGTGTGACGAGAAGCAGGCTAAACCCAACCACCGGTGTCGCCACAGTGCGGATGGTTACATACCCACACCAGGTACTCATTTGAGGTCGAGTCGACCTAGGGGGTGCCCAGGACCAGTTCGGA